TTTTGCAACGCCATGGACTATAGCCTGCCAGGCTCTTCTGTCCATGGGATTTTTCTAGGCAAGAATACTGGAGTGGGTTGCCATTTCCTTCTTCAGGGGACCTGTCTGACCCAGGGATGGAACCTGCGTCTCCTGCACTGAAGGCAGATTCTTTACTGCTGAGCCACCAGAGAAGCCTACAATTACTCTTACTGCTATAACCTGAATCTTCATCCCTCCTTCTCCAACAAAGGTAAATGTTAGTCCTCAAAAAGTGCACAGGATATTGGAGTATATATTGAAAAAACACCCCTGGGTTGGGAAGATGCCCTGGAGAAGGAAACAGATTACCCACTCCAGTATTCTGGCCTGGAGAAATCCATGGACTCTATAGTCCATGGGGTTGCAAAGAGTCGGACACAACTGAACCACTTTCACTTTCAGGAAAAATCTGCCTTCCATCCTAACAAGGGTGAGAACTGGGAAAAGGAAATCTACTTATAGAAAGTGTGCACATCAAATAGTATGGAAAGCCCTTGACCACAAAGGACCCAGATGTTGAATAAATTACAACAGATACACTTTTAAATGCATTGCTGAAATCATAAGGAAAAAAAGGAGATTCCGAAGGACAAGAGTAAAAAAGAAGAAAAAAAACAATAAACCTAAACCTAGGTGGTAGAACCTAGAGCCCAGGAACTTCCGCTCTGGTAGGATAGGACATGGGTCTTGAGCTTGTAAAACTCGAAAGGGACTGAACCTGGAACCCACAACGAAGGAGTTACTGTAACAACCTTGGAAAAAGAATGGCCTAGGGCTTCCCTGAGAGCTCAGCTGGTAAAGAATCCGCCTGCAATGCAGGAGACCCCGGTTCAATTCTGGAGTTGGGAAGATCCGCTGGAGAAGGGATAGGCTACCCACTCCAGTATTCTTGGGCTTCCCTGGTGGCTCAGCTGGTAAAGAATCCGCCTGCAATGCAGGAGACCTGGCGTCGATCCCTGGGTTGGGAAGATTCCCTGGAGAAGGGAACAGGCTACACACTCCATTATTCTGGCCATGATAGTCCATGGGGTCGCAAAGAGTCAAAAAAGACTGAGCCACTTTCACTTTCAGGAAAAATCTGCCTTCCATCCAAGAGAAGTCTGTAAACCTACACCAAACCTCCTTCCATCCAAGAGAAGTCTGTAAACCTACACCAAACCTAAGTGGAAAAATTAATGACAACAATGCTGATCTTCCCTCAGCAAACCTGAGCTAAATTTACATATTCTTCAAGTCTGAGAAATGCCTGGCTAATCAAAGTCGCCATGGTTGGAAGTAGAAGCAAATATATTTTCTACAGAAAATCATCTTCAATAAAGATTCTTCAAGATTCTCATAAAGCTAAGGAATAACTGAGGAGATAAGCTACCTTCAATGATATTCAATAAATAAACTCTCTCTCAACCCCAAGGGCTTTGGATATTCAGACTATGGAAAAGAGAAAAGGGAAAACAGAAAAAAAGCTGGACCAAAAACAAAAACACACGCACACACACAAAGTAAGAAAATTTTCATTCTACTGTGTGCATAAAATATACCTTTAAATATATGTTTTTACCATAATGGAATTACATGCTTTATATGAAGTGTGGTAAGAGCACTGCCTTTAATGCCAGGCACACATGAATTTGAAACTAGCTAAACAAGTACTAGTTTAAGATTCCAAGCAAGTTTACTAAAACTTTCTGGGTTTTAATTTCTTTAGCTGGAAAATGAGCATAATACTCCCTATCCACTAAAATTGTTGTGAAATAAATTTGCACACATACATACTTATATGTGTATCACAAACCACAGTTCTTAGCACAGAAAATGCACTCAATAAATAGCATGAACATCACAGGAGAAGGATTTTCATTCATCTGAAGTAGTTACAGTGTCTCTTATGTGCCAGTCCCAGCGCCAGACTTTGGAAAACAGATGGATAATGACTCCTTTTTATGTGCTGTATTGCTAGTTTTGTGTCAGACATTCATCAGTATAAGCTTACTTTATCCTTCCCACAATGTTATAAAGTTCTGTTATCTCCACTGTCCAGATGAAGAAACTGAGAAGTTAAGAAACTTGATTCAGTTCATACAACTGGCAGTGTAAGGACTTGAAATCAGGCGCTATATGACCCCAAAGCCTATGTCTTAATTTAATTACCTCACCTGGATGAGGACATTCCCATTCAGATATAAATGGAAGATGCAGTCGGTAGACTGTCTTCTATCTTTTTCTTTTTTAGGAAAAAGCAGAGAACTCTAAAAATAATGGCTTTCACAATCATAGAATATAACACAAGATCATTAAACTGAATTCTCTACATTCTTGACCTTTCAGTTTTTGTTCCTTCTTCAACAGAGAAAGTAACATTTCAATTATGAGTAACATCTACTACATATGCAATGGGTCTAAATGCTGTAGTTTTCATTTATAAATACTTTTCTAGGTACTACAGAGTAAATTGGCATTTCTTGGGAATTTAAACATGGTTTACTTTTTGATGAGGAGAGGATCTTACTTATATAATGATAACAGACAAAACTTAATAGGGAGGAAGATAAGACTCAAAAAAGGAAGCAATTTCTAAAATGTTTTCATCTCACCAAACTGAATAGTTTCAGACTACTTTGCAAAACATTAGATCACTCTCCAACAGATACTACAGATTACACTATGGTAAAGACAAACAATTATTCCATACGGTAATTAATTTTCAACCTTGAAAATAACGGCAACAGAAACTTTTGAGTTCTTTTAAACAACACTGAGACAACCTAACAGATCTAGAAAAGTTATTGCAGGCTCTCCACCTCAATTAAAAAAAAAAAAGTGTTATGGATTTTCTCCTAAGGAAAAAAGAGAATAGAAAAGAAGACAGGACTCTTCTAAAGGCACAGCTGCCTTGTAGAAATGGTTTACAGACTGCTCACTCCTACTTCTAGTAGAGTAATTCAACTTCTGTTCACAGACTCAGAGTTTGAAACTAAGCATGTGATTTTAAGTAACAGTAATTTTAAGTACTAAAAAACAGAGGCATTAGTCTACCAACAAACGTCCGTCTAGTCAAGGCTATGGTTTTTCCAGTGGTCATGTATGGTCATGTTTTTCCAGTGGTCACAGAGTTGGACTGTGAAGAAAGCTGAGCACCAAAAAATTGATGCTTTTGAACTGTGGTGTTGGAGAACTCTTGAGAGTCCCTTGGACTGCAGGGAGATCCAACCAGTCCATCCTAAAGGAGATCAGTCCTGGGTGTTCATTGGAAGGATTGATGCTGAAGCTGTAACTCCAGTACTTTGGCCACCTCATGCGAAGAGTTGACTCATTGGAAAAGACCCTGATGCTGGGAGGGATTGGGGGCAGGAGGAGAAGGGGACAACAGAAGATGAGATGGCTGGATGGCATCACCGACTCGATGGACATGAGTTTGAGTAAACTCGGAGTTGGTGATGGACAGGGAGGCCTGGCATGCTGCGATTCATGGGGTCGCAAGGAGTCGGACATGACTGAGCGACTGAACTGAACTGAACTGATTTTTAAGTAATAATGATGTAAAGAAACTGGACCCCTTTACCCTCAAACTGAAAACTGCTGATGATTAAGAAATCAAGTAACTCAAACAATTTAAAAATTGATAAATAGTAACTCCAAAACAAAGTAATGAATTTTCACTTAAAATGGAAGAAAATCCTCTTCTATTCATTTTAGAGTGACTCACACCTAAATCTGGAAGAGATTTTAGAGATTATTTCACCAGTCTTCACTTTAAAGATAAGGAAATTGAGAACTAAAGCACTGTGATTCAATTACCAATCCCCTGGAGAAGGGAAAGGCTACCCACTCCAGTATCGTGGCCTGGAGAATTCCAGGGACTGCATATGTATAGTCCATGGGGTCGCAGTCGGACACGACCGAGCGACTTTCACTTATATATTTTCTCACATCATTCTTTCTTCCCTTATCTAATGTAGCTATAAATTTGTAAGTCATCACCCAATGTTTTTCTGCCCTGTGAATACTACACCTTCAGGACAAGGACAGAAAAAAATTTTTAAATTCCGATACTTCACATTTAAACCATCATAACAGCTTTGCTTAATAAGAATAAAATGTGTGTAAGTGAATAAAAGAATTGTTATTTCCACTACTCAAATAAGGTTTCTGCCTCATAACTGGTCTACATACAAGCCATCTTTGGTTTTTCACAGTAGAGCGCAAAATGGGGGGGGTGGGGGGCAGGGATTTTAAAGAAAAGTTTCGCAATTCAAGAGAAAAATCCCTGGCGTGTCCTACAGAGCTTCAAGCCTGCCTAGGGAGAACAGAATGCCTTTAAAGAAAGAAGAAAAATTGTGGGCTGGAATAGGTCAGTCTGAGGATTTCTTCCAAGACTAAGAGTCAATGAGAAATCAGAATTCAAATACCGCATTACTGATCATCTTAATTTAACAACACAAAAACACAATAAAATTCAATTTCATGATAGTAAGAATATGTTTCCTTCTGAGAGACCTGCAGTTTTTCCTCAAGCGTCTTTTTCAAAAGGGAAAACTAGAGCACTCAGGATTGCAGGTCCGAAGTCACTCAAACACGTCTGCCGGACCAGGGTGGATCTAGCCTACCGCATTCATTGTATTCTTCACAACGTCTGCCCAAAGCAATTTAGCGAAAAAACTTAAACCTCAGTATGTAGAAAACAGGTCTTATTAATTCCTAACCAAACGGTTTTGTTTGTTTTTTAAAGTTATCCTTTACTTCCGGAATTCCCTGGTGAGTGACCTCCAGGACAGGTAGTTCGGCGCCAGGCGCGCCCCCACCTAGGCCCTTTGGGGGAAGGGACACAATTAGCTAAGTGGCTGGGCGGACCGGCGCGGGCCCCCGGGAAGGTCTCGGCGCCGGCTCCCAAGGCTGCTGCGGACCCGACGCACCTGCCGGGCAAAGGCGGTCCCTCACCTGCGACAACACCCCCGCCCACCCTTACCTCCCGAGACGCTTACCTGGGGCGTCTGCCGTGGCCTGGCCCCTGGACGTGGCTGACTGGGCCCAAGCCAGGTGCGACGACGGCCGACTCCAGGGTCGCGGGGTCCCGAGCGGCAGGTAGGAGGGGTTGGACTTCCGCCGAATCGCCACCCGCCTGAAGTTATAGTCGCCCCCACCGCTCATCTGACCGCTTTCGTTCGCGGCTCGGCGCCCGCTCCCACCCTCATCCGGCAGCGAGCGCGCGCTCGGCGGGCACCTGGGGGGCGACCTGACCCAGGGGGGCGTCGCTTGCATGACACGCTCGGTGCGACTCGACAGGGGCAACTTCTGCGTCGAGTCGTCAGCAAGTGTCTCCTCGTCCCTTCCTCCCAGGACGCGCAAGGCCTCGCCGAGAGTTTGGCTCCGACTCCCTGTGCGGCAGCCGCCACGCCCGAGTCTCTGCGGCTAGCGCTCTCACCTGACGCCGCCGCTAGAGCGGCGGGTTCTGGTTACCGCCACCCCCTCCTCTCTGGACCAATCACCGGCAGATCCCCCAGAGCGCCGAGAGCTCGGCCTGTGGGCGCCACTGCTGCTGCCGCCTCCTCGTCTCTCCCGGGCAGTAGCCCAGGACGCGCGGTGCCGCCGGGAGCGTCCCGGGCAGCTCCGCCCCTCCCTCTCCCCCTCCCCCCTCCAGCTTCCTTCTCCCCTCCCCCGCCACCTGCCGACTGGAGCCAACGGGGCGCTCACCTGCCGGCTCAGACCTGGAGGGCTCCGAAGGTCAGCCGCGCTCACCGGTGGGGCACACGCACTGGGCTCCGGAGGAAAGAAGAGGTCGTAACAGCTACTCTGAACTCTGTACAGGGCCTGCCATCCTCGCAGACGCGTAACACAAGGGTCACACGTGTGTCTCAAGACGCTACTGAGCCCTTGATAATGATCTTACTTATGTTGTAGAGCTACCCAGTGAGGTAAGTATTTCAGATAAGGAAACCGAGATGCGGAACTTATGCTGGGTCACTTGGTACTGCAGAGCTAGAATGCTTACCTGAGGCTCTGCCGCAAAGTCTGGCCTTATCTCACTCAACCAAAAAATCTTGCCGGGAGCATCGAGACAGAGAAAGGTGAAAAGGTGCGTGAATGTAAAAGAAAAGGTGGCGCTGACGACCCACAGGTTTCCTGAAGAGCATCAGCCCCTCCATCACCACAGACACTTTTGGGGCTCGTTAGTATTGCTCTTCAGAATCCTATAATTTGTCAAGTCATTTTTTAGAAGCTTCAGCTAAATAGTAAATTGAAATTTTTTTTCATTGGTTTACTTACCTGCATTTTAGAATTCATTAGTAATGAAGAGGCTGAGTTACAAAACCACAGAGATAGGAGGTGAAAGAGCAGCGTTCCAAGTATCCCAGCTGAAGCAGAAAGAATTCCCCAGCCATCACTCCCACCTTGGAAGTCACCCCACATTTTTTTCAGATGGGCCTTCACCCAGGTAACATCTCTTCCATCTCCCCGATGTATGTCCCATAACCCAGTCCTTCTCAAGAAGCCTTTCAGGAAGCAGTTCAACTGTCTTAGTCTCCCTGGCCATTACTCCAATAAATGTACCTTTTAGAAGAAACTACATGCATAGTTTTTAATGCATCCATTCAGACCTTGTTAAAAGGAGCTTTTGCTCCCTTTGGATTTATTATCCCTGTATCACTCTATTGTAACTAACTGTTGTTACTCCTTCTCTGTAATTGTGTTATTTACTACACTATATGATATCAGAAATGATTTAAACAAATGCTTTCAAATATAAATAATGAAAGAGGTTTTACCTCCATATGCATAAGTTCACTGTAACTTAAATGCAGGTTTTTTAACATAATTTATTTGGTTCAATAAAAAGGCAATGTGGGGTGGGAGCAAAAAAAGAAAAGAAGGTGGTGTTGCAATCAATAATACCATACTAGCAACCTACTTTAGAGCGACCTATTTTTAAGTGAGAAGATGATGGCAATCTTCTCTTTTAGAGAACTGGCTACTGATGAAAAGTACCCCCCAACTGCCTCCCTGCTACTATTCAGTATGGGTGCTTACTCTTTCTGTGGAGAATTGCAGTAAACATACCTATATGGGGCAAAAAGATCTTATCAGATGTATGTAAGGCAGCAGTTTAAGGCTTCCTCATTTGGATATTTGACTTGTTTATATTATACATATTTCTATTTCTTGGCTCAAGTTGTTCACATTACTTAAGATAATATTAGTTCACAACAGTGGATGTCATATTTTCAGGCATTCATACATCATCTGACATTTCCTCTAGATGTTATGATGCTTATTATTTTCTGATAGAAACCATTTCTAAAGGACTTTGCATTTGATGACTACATTTTTGCAACATTAAAGAAATAGGTCAACATAACTTTACTTGATCTCAAGTTATTATAGGCTAGAATAGAACAAAATTTTTGAAAATCATTATAAGTGATGATATAGTCCTGATGTACTATTTTATTTGCTTATATAGCCAACAGAAAGTTCGATAGCAATTCATTACCACATATTGAATGAGAACTGTGCTGGGTCCTGAAATACAGAGATGCATGCAATACATAGCAGCTCATATGCCATGTCTCCGTGACTGAGACACTGCTGAATGCTGACTAAGTCATGTATCTTTTTCCTTAGGCACACTAAGAGACTGATTTGAATCTTCCCTTACAGTTAGGTGGAGCCACCTAACTAAATTCTTCAAAAAGTTTCGTGGGCAGGGCGGAGAGGGAGGTGGGAGGGGGGATCGGGATGGGGAACACATGTAAATCCATGGCTGATTCATGTCAATGTATGACAAAACCCACTACAATATTGTAAAGTAATTAGCCTCCAACTAATTTTTAAAAAAATTTAAAAAAAAGTTTCATGAGCAAAAGTAATGTGTGTCACCTTCAGGCCTGACTTTAGCACACTGGATATCTTCTCCAACTGCCTCCTAGAATGCAAAGGGGCCAGTGGGAGAACCTGAGCCCTCAACCATGGTGGAGCCACTGTATGGAGAGGAGCTGGCAGCCCAGAATCACCCCTTTGCTGCGAATTGACACTAAATCAGACTAGCAAAATGCATAAGAAGACTAAGAACTAATTCACATTCCTTAAATATTATCTTTATATGTTCTACTGTAGCAAAAATTATGTATATATTATGTCTCTTAATTCTAATTAAAATGTTTTAAACAAACATTCAATTTAATTTTAACATAACAAGTCTCAGATTGGTATGCTGCTGCTGCTGCTGCTGTTAAGTCGCTTCAGTCATGGTCTAGTCCCTAATAAATAAGATAAAACCAAAAAGAAACACTTGAGAAAAAATATGAATCAATAAACAATTTCAGCTGTTGTCAGAACATCACTTCCAAAGCTAGAATTTAAGAGAAATCAACACTTTATAGCAGATTCACTCATTTTAATCTCAATAGAGAAAGAAAAATATTTCTCTTGCTTTAATAATAAATTGTGTTATTTCCTCAGTAAATGGATCATAAATTTATTAGTTATTTGATGCTGTCACTGAGTAGGAATTTATGTAAATATCATTAAAGGTCACGATAATAAAGGTGACTAAAAGGCATGAATTATACTGACTTTCTGTAGTAGTATTAGGGGCTGAAAAATTGTTGACTTAAAGAAAAACCCACGGTATGAAACACTGGAAAAGACTGAAGGCAGAAGGAGAGGGTGTCGAGGACGAAACGGCTGGATGGCATCACCAACGCAATGGACATGAACTTGGGCCAACTTCGGGAGATGGTGAGGGACAGGGAGGCCTGGCATGCTGCAGTACATGGGGTCACCAAGAGTCGGGCACGACCAGGCACCTGAACAACAACAATCAATTTTAAAAGTTTCGAGTTTTATTCAGAGTCTTACTGAAGACTATAGCCCAGGAGACAGTCTGTCAATAACTGAGTAAACTTCTCTGAAGAGGTCGGGAAGGAGCCAGTTTATATTTATGAATTTTTTGCCTAGGATATACATGTAGTGTGTGTGTGTGTGTGTGTGTGTGTGTGTGTGACTTGCACAGTCGTGTCTGACTCTTTGCGACCCCATGGACTGTAGCCCACCAGGCTCTTCTCTCCATGGAATTCTCTACGCAAAAATACTGGAGAGGATTGCCATTCTCTTCTCCAAGGGATCTTCCTGACGGAGCAAGCCAACCCTGTCCCCTGCATTGCAGGCAGATTCTTTACAGTCTGAGCCACAGGGAAGCCCATAGTCATGCATACATCTTGGTAAAAGATTACAGTAGTCACCAAGAAGAGCTATCTTAAGGTAATGATTTTAGGGCTTTTCTGTGCATGGAAAGATGCAAGAATCCGGCAATTTAAATTCTTTCTGAGATATACATCTAACTATTTAAAGGCCTGTTATCCTCTGCACAGAGTGCTCATCCTGTTTTTTCATCCTGATTTCATCTCTGAAAATAGGCTTGGTAGCCAACTGCAGTGAGTTGTGACTTAACCCTTTTATATCTGGTTGATGAATGATGCTCCTCGTTTTTTGTTTTTGTTGTTCACAATACAGAAGATAATTTCAAGAAGACCTAATTGAAGATGATTATATTTATTTTAATAGAAACTTAGTAAACAATATGATATTTTGAGTTGGCGCAAGTTGAGATTTCAATTGTTTGTGTATATGCATAATTTATAATATATTAATTTAATCTCTGGGCTTCCCTTGTGGCTCAGCTGATAAAGAATTCGCCTGCAATGTGAGAGACCTGGGTTCGATCCCTGTGTTGGGAAAATCCCCTGGAGAAAGAAAAGGCTACCCACTCCAGTATTCTGGCCTGGAGAATTCCATGGACTGTATAGTCCATGGGGTCGCAAAGAGTCAGACACAACTGAGTGACTTTCACTTCACAATTTAATCTCTATGTCTGTATCTTGACCAGGTATTGCATATATTAATAGCCTTTGTAAGAAAATGCATGTGTGCTAAGTCACTTCAGTTGTGTCTAGCTCTTTGTGACCCTATGAACTGTGGCCTGCCAGGCTCCTCCCTCCATGGGATTCTCCAGGCAAGACTACTAGAGTGGATTGCCATGCCTCCCTCCAGAGGATCCTCCCGAGCCAGGGATTGAACCCACATCTCCTGCATTGCAGGTGGGTTCTTTACCACTAGTGACATCTGGGAAGCCCTAAAATAAAGTATATACATATATATATGTATATACACTTCTTAGAACATTTGCACAAATCTGAGGTGTCAACTGAAACTGTCAAGGTACATGTTTGATTTGTACTTATATTGATAACTGTTGTTCCTTA